GAACAACAGAAGATGCTTCTTGGAAGAAAGACCGACAGGAAAAATACAAAACAATATAGGCAGACCGACTGATTACTACAAGAATAAGCAAGTTGCTAGCCCAGGAGACATCAAGGCAAGCAGTCGGGTCCCCTCAGAACAAACAGCCTTCCAAGACCGAGACTCAGTGGGAATACACGAGCAGACACATGCTCTGACTGGTGACCACGCTGGTCACCAATAAGGTGAAGTGAGGGAAAAACAGCAATAAATCTGCAAGCTAAGTCCAACCATGTTCAATACACTCCTGTGAACCTGGGTGGATACCTGGTTGGCCAGGAGTTTGGCAAGACCTGGTGACTCGGGGGCCCAGAGTCAGTGACATAGTCACAGAGGACTAGAGTGGAGAATGAAGCGTCCAGCTGATAAGAAGAGACGGCATATGCACAAGAACACCAAACACCCACACTTGCGGATAATAACCAGCTGACCTGGCTTCAATGGCTGGATGATCAGAGCTCAACTAGAATAAGAAAGAAGAGGGAAAAAAAGAGTAATCTGATACAATTTGATGAACTTGACCTACACCTATGGATGCAGTGGCTCAAGAGGGGATAAATCTTTACAGCGAGGATCATTCCTGCCCCCTCAATACATAGGTTATACAGAGATGGGCAATTTGAACATTGGCTACCCAAAATGGGGGGAGGGGGGGCTATAAAGGTAAGACGTGATTGGCTTACAAGCTTTCAAGAGGGAGTCTAGATAACAGAGAGCGTGGATGAAGGTAGAATCTCCACTGAGTAGTATCCAATCTGTCTGGGCAGGACTGATGAAAGGAAATGTGGATAGCACTCATGTGGTACAATACTGAATAATTACTATCAGGACTGACTGTGAGGGTTGAAAATGTAAAGGTAGATGTTTTGTAGCAAAAGGAGGCAGAGTGGTTGACTTTGCAGTCAGGTGCGGAGGGCCCTGGGACCATCAAGGGAGAAGAGCAGAGTATGGGACCCTACCCAGAGAAACAGTGATGCCAGAGATGGAGGCAGAGACGATGACGTAGTGAGATGGAGCGGCTGGAAACTCTAGACCCAGAGAGGGAGAAGTGCTGTGTGCTGACGACCAGAGTGCAGGTTTGCGGGGTGTACCATTTGGTTGTTTGATGATGCATGGAGGGAACTGTAACCATGGCAATGTAACAATATACGGTAGGATGAATATAAATTAGCTAATGTTCTCTCATGTAAACTATCACATAATTCATAGTAAAACATTAAAAAAAAGAAAAAGGAAACATCAATTGGATTTCATCAAAATTTAAAAAATTGTATCAAAGGACAAAATTAATTTAAAAGGCAACCTACAGAGATGAATGGATAAACAAAAAATAGTTTATATATACGATATCTAACATCCCACATAAAATGAAATTCATATACATCCTACAACATGGATAACCCTTAAAAAAAGGCTAAGGCAAATAAGCTGGACACAAAAGAGCAAATACTCGTATGATTCCATTATATTCATCAATTTGACAAATAACTATGAAGAAGAGATGTGCATGGACCCAAAGATTCGTGGTGACCATGAGACATGGGGAAGACACAATGGAGAGTAAGTTATTGCTTAACGGGTACAAAGTTAGTTGCACCACACTGTGAATGCGAAAATGGTCAAAAAAGTAAACTCTATGTGAGAGTAAGTCAAAAAGTACTGCTGTTAGGGTTCTAATTCACATATGCACAGGTTTATTTCAAACCAAAGGCATTTCAGTGTCTCTGAGATCAACGAATAGTTACAGGCATTCTCAGTAATACACTTCAGACTCCTTAGGACGCCTTAAAACAAACCATTGTATCGTGGGAGAAATTATTTGAGGTCAAAGCTAATTCTGATTTTTAATAAAACAAGTGAACATCCTCTCAAGTCAATGAAGCTTTATGTTTATGGGAATGCTGCCCCACATATAAAACGACTTTTCAGATGGAGCGAGCATTTTAAAGAAGGTCAGGAAAACCTCAAAGGTGAGCAAGCAGGAAGGTCAGCTCAAAGGCTATGGTGACTTATGTTTGGGGATTCCATCCCATAAGGTCAGCAGTTCAAACCCACCAGCCACCCGCAGGAAACCCTACAAGGGTTACTGAGTTGAAACCGGCTCGACACTCACCAACAAAGGAGAAATAATCTTGATTTCTTGAAGGACGAAAACGCTGCCTTCAGAAATGTATAGACCTTGATGGAGGTGGATACGTTGAGAAACCATAGCTTCACGTTGTAATAGTTTTGTTCAATAAGGGTTTCTATGATTTTGGAGCAATATTTTTTTACTTATACTTACATATTTAAAAAATATACAAAGTACACAGTAGTCAATGCTGAATGAGAAAACAAATGATGATGTATTACTATAAACCTACCAGAGTAACCAAATAAACAGTGACCCCAACAGATGCTGGGAGGGATACGGAGAAATGAGCACGCAACCACTGCCAGTGAAAACGGGGATGCTAGCTGGCAGCTTCTTTAAAATCACGTAAAAAAGCAACTACTGTACAATTTGATGTGGTGCTGTAGGATCAGCACTGCACTAACCACCAGGTTGGCAGTTCAAACCCACCCACAGTCACTCCTTGGAACCCCTACACAGAAGTCACTGAGTTGGAACTGACTCAATGGCACTGAACAACAACCACCATACAACTTAGTAATTACACTCTTGAGCATTTATCCTGGAGAAATGAAGCTTAAGGTTCATGCAAAAACCTATACATCGATGTTCATAGCAGCTTTATTTATGATAGCCTACAACAAACCAGATGCACTTCAACAGATGAATGGTACATCCACACCATGGAATACTACTCAGCAATGAAACGAATACTCGACTGACAAACTATTGATACATACAACCCAGATAAATCTCCACAGAATTATGGGAGTGAAAAACTCCAATCCCAATTATATACGGTCTGATTCAGTAACATCTTTGAAATGACAAAATTATAGATGGAAAACTGATTAGTGGTTAAGAGTGAGGGCTGGGGAGGGAAAGGGGCAGTCTGAGGGAGATGCTTGTGGTGATAGAAGAGCATCTGGACTGCTAAGCTACACAAAGAAGTGTGTTTACAGGGAGCAGAGGGAGAAACGATGAGTTACTGTGATGCCCACACAAATCCACATGTGATTAATCAATGTGGAACCCAATGTACCAGTGTCAAATTCCCGGGTCTGCTTTTGCACTGGAATTACCAAGGATGCCCCATCAAGGGAACTGGGACAGGTATGCGAGACCTCTGTGTAACTCCCTATAATCACTTCAAAACAAAAGTTAAGAAGGAAAGCAATCGTTTTAAATGCAACTTGGTATCCTGGATTAGATCCTGCAATAGAAAAAGGGCATTATTGGAAAAATGGGTAAAATCCAAAGTCTGCAGTTTAATAGTATTGCGTCTAGTTTGGCAAATTTACCATAGTTATTATGTAAGATGCTAACATTAGGAAAATCTGAGTGAAGGGTATATTTTATAAAACTAATATCCTATCCCTCTTTCCCCCTGAAAAATCTGATGTTCAGACCAATGAAATCGAAGTTCTTAGAAGTAGGACCCAGGTATCAGTATTTTTTAATTGGCCAGGTGACTCCAATGTGCAAAAAAGTTGAGAACCACTGTTCTAGAGAGAGATAATTTTAAAGTGTAGCACTGTAGGATAAGTTAACCGCAAAGGTTGTGATTCAAACCCACCAACCTCAGAAACCTTATCTAGGGTTGCCATGAGTCAGAACTGACTCCACCTGGGTTTGCTCTTGAGGAATATAATGATAATAAGAAAGCAAACACTACCAATGTTCTTTAGGCTATTAGTCCCATCATAAGGATCCAAGTTCCTTTCAGAAAGGTTCCAGAAATCCTCTTCCGCCTCATGATGCTCCAGTTCACATAGCTGAAGAACTATGAAATATGAAAGGTGAAGACAGGTAAAACTAGAAGACAAGTGCCTTCTCGGTCCCCCTTCTCTAAAACCTACAACTAAGAACAGGGGAGGGAAAAAAATGGCAAAAACTTGAAATGTTTGAGATGTAAGAAAAACTTAAGACTTCTCTTTTTTTGAGAAAGGTGATGGGCAATGTCTCTTGCCCATAAACAGCCCTCTCCTCCCTTATAGCCAGGCAGCATCCCCTACACACACGGAGGCCTGAATACTACCGGCTACCGGCATCTGGGACCAGACAGTGGAGAAGGGATTAGATGCAGCATAAGGACCCATTCCTCTGTGTGATCTCTTCTTAAAACACAGCAACTGACAACACTGTTAGTGGCAGTAAGCAAGACAGGCAGGGGGCAGTAGATACAGTAGGCCTCCTCCATTCCCTGTGTGAAGAGCTTGCTCTCTCCAGGCTCCAGAAAGGGTCAGAAAAGCAGTTTCTTCACAGGACGGAGGCCAGAGCTAGTGGGGCAGACTTGTGGGTGATCGTGCTTCTAGGTTTGGCATGTGGAACAGGCTGGGAAACGTGCTTTGAAACATGGTGCTGTAGACAAAGCTGTGGCTGTGAACCCCGGCCCAAACTGCGGCTCTCTGTGTGCTCACAAAGTGCTGCCAGCAGCAGAAGGTTGACAAATTAAAAGCCAAGTGAGTACAGGTCACGACCAGAAAGGCGGCAGCAGTCATGCACTCACATTGCGGCTTGGCTGGAAGAGGTATAAATACACTGCGCCGTCACAGCCTTCGGGAGAGGGCAAAGGCTGGGCCTTGAGGACTGGAGATGATAGCATTGCTTTTGTTCCCTCCAGAAGTTGGCCTGGCAGGCTGGGCCTCGTCTCCTTACAGGAGAGCAGGACCTATGAAGGCTCCGGGCACGGAGGCTTGGTTCTGAGGACAGCTCAGGACTGTCTACCAGGACCATCTAAAACGTGGCCTGGAGGGGATGGGGCAGGTTGGCACGAGCTATTCCCTGGCTCCCTCTAGTTCTCCACTTGCTTGTTCATTCCCCAGATCTGGGGCTGCTTGGCAAGAAATTAAACTCCTGGGTTGCGCCCAGGGCTTTCCTCTGCTGGGATGCCCGGTCTGCTGTGGAGGGAGCCTAGGGAAGAAAAAGACAGGAACATCACTATTAAAGCTAGTAAAGGAAGAAGATCCTATTAAAAAACAAATACGAAAACCCTTTATAGGCTAGGAAGGGCTTGTGTGACAGATGACCCTAAGGATACATCAGGAACATTAGCTGGGAAAATGGTGGGTCTCACAACAGAAACCACTCAAGGGCAGACTAGCTGCTACTCACTCTTAAAGGGGAAAGAGCAGAGCCGTGGGCTCGGCTCTAGGGAGGAGGGGCCTGCCTTGGACAATAAAACGCTTTTTGCTGGAAGGAGGTTTTATTAACCATTATTTCATGATCCTCTAATCTTTCAGAATAACAACATGAGAAATCGCAGTAAGGGACAAGAGAACTGCCTCCCAGGTGGGGAGACCTGTGTGCAGCACTAAGGTCTGGGAAAGCAAATTGAAGGGACAAGGAAAGGGAAAAGATATTTACCTTGGGTGTTTTCCCAAAAAAAAAATTGCTCACTAGAGTCCACAGTCATTTATCAACTGCAGTTTCCAAATGTGCCAAAGAGGGAAAGGTCTACTGGGAAGGCTAAAGAGAGCAGAAAGAAAGAAAAAAGAAGAGGAGACAAGCTGATCAGCGAAGCAGCAGAGACTCACAGCTCTGGGCAGTACCAAGGTGATGGGCAAGCTTTTGGGCAAGTAGAGTCAAAGCACAACTGCAGCCCACCCCATTCCCTGCTCCCCAGGACAGAAGCTAGTCGTTCTTAGAAAGACATCGCGACGTGGAAGAGTTGCTCAGAAGCTGAAAGGGCTTTCAACACGGTTCCATGCTGTAAGTGGGGATCAGAAAACTTTTTTTTCTGTAGTGCAAAAGCAGCCATAGACAATATGTTGTTGTTGTTACGTGCCAGGGAGTCGGTTCTGACTCATAGCGACCCTGTACAGGGTTTCGGAGGCTGTAAATCTTTACGAGAGTAGAAAGCCTCATCTTTATCCTGCGGAACAGCTGGTAGTTTTGAGGTTAGCAGCCCGATTTGTAACCACTACGCTACCAGAGCTCCTTATAGACAATATAAGGGTACTTCAAAAAGTTCGTGGAAAAGTTACATCACCCTTTAATTCCGTTTTCCCACAAACATTTTCAAGCTTCCTCATACATGAACAAAGAGGTGATTCAATAAAACTTTGTTTGTAAAAACAAGACAGCTGGCTGAACCTGTCCGCTGGGTCACAGTTTGCCAAACCTTGCTACGGATAATTGAAAATCATTGTCTTGATTGTAATCATTGCAATGAAACGATGAATGTAAGACTGATGTTCCCCCATGTAAACTATCACTCAATTCACAATAAAAACTTAAAAAAACAAAACATTGTCTTCCAAGCATTTCGTTGAGACTTGGATTCGAAAGAGGGATCAACATGGGGGAGAATAAAGGTACTTTTTTGGTGGGGAACCTTGTGCCAAAGGCTCCCAGGGTCTGGCATTATGTAAGCAGTGTGCCCAGTGAAATCTCCAAGTATGCCAAGCCCATAGGGACAATCCCACAGAGCTGAGGCAAAAGCAGAAAGACAGTAAGTGAGCCCCACTGGGGGTAAATGTCACATAAACACTTGGGGGAAAATATCCAACACTATGTTGCATTTTTTGAATAATTTGTTACAAAGAGGATCCACCAAATCAAAACCAAACCCACTGAGTTGATTCCTACTCATAATGACCCTATCGGGTGGAAACTGCTCCTTAGGGAGCAAGGCTGCAAATCTTTACTCCTGTGTTCCTGTGGCATTAATCAAGTGGCTGGTGTGTTCCAGTTCAGTTGGCAACCGGGTGCTTTAACCACTGTGATACCAGAGCTCCTTCAATGGCCCACAGTCACTATAAAATGATTCTCTAATAGGACTGCCCAATGAGTAGCCGAAGCAAAAACAGATGAAAACTATCCCTGAATATACAATAAAAAGTGGAATGAGAAGGCCAATCTTGGATTAGGTAGGTCTGTACTGTGAACAAGGAGCCCTGGCAGGCTGTGGGTTTGGCTTTTGGCTGCTAACTGCAAGGTCGGCAGTTCAAGCCCACCAGGTGCTCGGCAGGAAAAAGATGAGATTCCCATAAAGATGTCTTGTCTCAGAAACCCTATACACAGTCACTACATGTTGGAAGTGACAAGATGGCAGTGGATTAGGGTCTTGGTTTCAGTCCCTTCAACACAGGACGTGCGGTTGGAGGAGCAGATGGAAAGCCACAATGGAATGGCTCACGTTCATGCCAACAAGCATTTTGGCTGAGGAAACTCAAGTCTAATGTGATGGTGTGAACTTCCACCCTCCAGGGTACTTGCACAGGTTGTTGTTGTTGTGATGTGCCATAGAGTCGGTTCCGACTCAGCCCCCTGCATAGGGTTTCCGAGGCTGTAAATCTTTACGGGAGCAGAAAGCCTCTTCTTTCTCCCGCGGAACAGCTGGTAGTTTCAAACTGCTGACCTTGAGGCTTGCAGCCTGATTCGTAACCACTATGCTACCAGAGCTCTTTACTTGCATAGGAGGTGCCCCAAAAATGAAGTGACACCACAGAAGATAGGCCCAGAGCCAAGTTACCCTCCAGGAGAGCCCCACCTGAAAGGGCTGCCACTCATGCCCAGCTTCCGGACTTGAAGGGCATCAGGCACACCCGCATCTGCGGCCCCCTCATTCAATGACACCTAGAACTGCTGAGCACTAATGTGGCTTCTACCTGCATGCCACATCACAATTCATGAAGCACTTTTCTATATAAAAACACCTAGAAGTTCTCAAGCCGAGGGCTAAGTAACGAGAGCTGCTCCCTGAGGGAGTTCCCACTCAGAATGCTGGGTTCCAATCTGGCACATCCTACAGTTGACCTCTCTGTCTCCATTCTCAAAACAGCAGTCCACATGAAGCTCTCAGCACAGTGCCTGGCAGTATGGAGGAAAGCTCGTCTTCCTCCCTGGGGGTGGGGGTGGGGGCAAGTATACCAGGCTCAGCTCCTTTCACAGTCGCTTTCTGGATTTCAGGCAGCCCTGGACATCTCTGACCCAAACCAAGGTGCTCAATCAGAAAAAAAAGTGTCTTCTTGGATCACAAGAACACAGAAGCACCCAGAGTTTTGACCACCTGTACCCAAGGCCTACATTTCCCAGCACTCCTGTCGGTTCCCTGCCTTCCAGTGCAGGGGCAAGGTTGGCCAGCTCACCTGCCTTGCTCCCACCATACCACACAACTCTGTGTCTTCCAATGTCAAATTCCTGCTCTTAGTGGCAGGCTTTAAATATAAGCACGACTTGACCAAAGTACTCAGTCATTCTAGAAATGTTTCCACCAACCCACCACTATGCCAGGTCTATCTGTGACCAAACCCTAAATGCCCAGTACTGTGTCTGAACCTGATCTTATTCCCATTTAGTCGTTAATCCCTAACGAAGTCAGACAACCCTAGCCGACTCATGAGAGAAAACAGGGACTTAATATGCTCTTACTTTACATGCAGGCTGTATAGCTCAGTGTCACCATGAGCTAGTTAGAAGCAGCAAGAAGGGAGGCAGAACAGAATGTGGGGAAAGGGAAAGGAAAGAATGCAGAGCAGGGTAGCTGAGAATGGATGTATGTGCTCAAGTTGGAAGGTCTGGCAAAGCATAGGCTGTGCCCATGCAGGGTTACCTGTTGCTGCAGCCATCTTGTCACCGAGGAGCCTGGTCTGGCTGCCTGGCACTATCTGGAGGTCCGCACTCTCAGGGGACTGTGGCAGATTCTGTGCTCGGGTAGCCAGGAGTGCATTGAGGTACTGCAGACGTGTAACCTGGAGAAGAGAAAGCATTACCTGGCAAGTGTGGCGTGAGAGGCAGAAGGTAAGATAGGCCACCCCGCTCCCTCCTGCCCACAAGCACCTGCATTAGACTGGAGTCACAAGTGCAAAGAAGAGATCAAAGAACTTTAAAACTGTTAAGGACAGAATAGAGCAATTGTGCAAACTGCCTTTCAGACCTCCAATGGAAAGCAGGTGCACAGGCCTGGGGACAGTACCAGGCCACCAGTGGGCAAGTGGGCCTTGGGAGAACCACGGTCATGCTTCTGAGCAAGCATAGGGTCCTGCTCTGGGAGGTCTTGGTAGAATCAACAGAACTTACTCTCAATACACACAAACATGTGATCAGCTGGTCTAACCCCTTGGAGACATAAAGCTGGTGGTCACCTTAATGAACTGCAGGTCAGAGAGGGCCCTCACAGTGTAGTCAGGACAATATGTGGAAGAGCGGGTGCCATCAGCTGGCTCGGACTGCAGGTCATGGCGGATGGATTGGAGCGAGGACACTGGGGACTGGTGGACTGTTGAACGGAACAATCAGTAACGTGGAAGCCACTGCTGGGAACTGTGCAGTACCAGGTGGGGTGATGCAGCTGAGCCTCTAATGCCCAGTCCCTGAATCACCACCTCCCTCACCCACCTCACTCCCACCCTGCCCCAGAGAAGACAGCTGAGGAACTCTGAAAAGGAGTGCGAGCTGAGCCAAGAGCCCAGAAGAAATGCTGCCCCTCCCAAAGACGAGGAAAGTCTTGAGTCCAGAGCATAAGGGCTGCTGGCTGTGAACCAGCTGTGGAGAAGGAGTGGGCTCCGGTGGAAGGGCAGGCTAGAATCCTGGGCATGGAGACCTATGGCAGCAACTAGAGCAAGGTGTAGTGGGATCTGCAAGGCAACGAAACCCAGTTCAGTGCCCTCACCCCAAGTGTTAGCTGCAGGGGACTACCGATCACCTGAGGAAGGTGCTGCCAGGGCAGATACTCCATAGTAGGTGAAGGCCCCATTCTCGAACTTCAGGCCCTCTTTCCCAATCTCCACCTCAACCCTGCCCTGGGAGAAAGGGAAGAAGGAAAATGGGGCAGGAAAGGCGGGAGGGGAGGAAGAAGGTAAAAAGGGAGGAAGAGAGGGAAGGAGGGAGAGAGGAGGTAAAAACAGGTGTGGCTAGATTATCTTTCCTGTCAGAAAAGAGCGCAAAAAGAAATCATCAACCCCAATTACTAGGGGGGGAAGGAAAACGTGGATGTCCCTGTCCCCCGCCTCTTCTCACAGCCCCTTCCCTATTTCATGAGGAAGTGGGAGGACGCAGCCTAGCAGCCCAGTTACCTGTAGGATGAGAATGAAGTAATCCACCGGCTGGCTGCGCTGGTACAGGTAATGGTCTTCAGCCAGACAGTGGCTCTCATCAAACCTCACTTCCTGATTGACACTGGGGTGTTTAAGCAGGTGTAGAAGGACCTTCTCGGAGATTCGCAGGGGGCTGAATACATCCACCTCTGCCCCGTGGTGGGAAAAAGTGACAGTGTCCACAAGGACCCAGACAGCTGATGAAACCACACCCAACTCTCCCAGGCTGAGGACGCCACCTGTGCTTGCCCGAGCTCACACCAGCTTGGTGGGCCCTCGGTCACATGGCAGCCCTGGGTGAGCTCTAGCTCGGAGGTTCTCCTGGGGACGCTCTGCTCACTAGGAACGGGGCCCCACCTGACAGGGAGCACAGAGCACCATTCACCCTCACCTCGGGAAAGGAAGCGCTGGGTGGCCAAGAGCAGCTGAGGTGAGATTTTTACTTTATATTCATCATCAGACACCTTGAACAGGGAGAATTCCTCTCTCCGCTTCAGAGGGGCACTCAGAGAAGCAGGCTTCCTCCTCGCCTTACTGTCCCCTGAGGTGGTAAGAAAAAGGTGTGCTTCTGCATCCGCAGCCTGCCCAGCCAGAGGGACCACCTGGCTCCTTGCTCCCAAGGGCTGAGGCGCTCAGGGGACAGAGAGAGGACATTAGAGCCCCAGGGCACAGCCTTGGCACTGCTCCCTCAACAGTGCCTAGCTGCCATTCCTAACAAGCAGTAATCCTGACATTCAGGACAGAGGGTGCAGCAGCCCCCGTTCCAGGCAAATCCTGAGGAAGAAATGCTGTTTATCTTGGATGTGGTTAACGATGAAGCCAATGTAACAGCAAAGCAATTGAGAGACCTTTCTCTGGAAGGCGTATATCTGACAATGGTGCTAAACAACAACAGCTAACCTGGTGACTTTGTGCCTAGGATAGTCCAAGGGACCACAGTGAAGATACTATGTTTTGGGAAAAGATGCTAGAGGCAGTGACAAGCTTGAAAGTATATAGCGGTGAGTAGGAAGTGCCCCAAGTGCTGTCTGAGGCACCAGCCCTCCAGCATGGGTTCTGCATCTGCCTTACAGATCTCTGCCATCGTTCTGAGACAAGGGCCCTTTGTACTGAAGAATGGAGTTTCTTTGAGGAAACACATCCACAATGTGAGAAAGCAACTGTAGCAAAGAAGACAAAGGCCCATTAAAGGCAGAGCCCTCTCCTCTGGCAGAGGAACAAACAGCTGCTAACAGAGCCTCAAGCAAGAACTGGGTTTGCAAAGCCTCCAATGGGGCAGGTTAGCAAGGTGTAGAACCAAGATAGAAGTGTTAGTCCTTCTGGAGAGGGGAAATTCTGGCCGTGTAGGAGTGGGGGAGAATGGAGCCTGGCTGGGTAACAGTTCTGGCAGAAGATGTCAGCAAACACGACTCACACCAAGAGAAGTGGAGACCCACTGCCCTCTGATACATACAGCTAGCTCAATCAACTTGAAAACTCACGGTAATCTTCTGACTCATCCAGGATCTCAGACTTGATGATCTCCTCAATGACGTCCTCCAGGGTGACCAGGCCCAGGACCTCGTAGAAGGGGTCACCCTCACCCTCGTTGTTTACCTTCTGCACGATGGCCAGGTGGGACTTCCCTGTGGTGAGGGGACACTCATGTTAATGACTTGAGGCCACATGAGTCCCTGCATTGACCTACACTGGACACACAAAGAGCAGAGGCCCAGGCAAGAAGGTGGACTGCCCGCAGGGTGCTATAGCTGGTCATGTCCTCTGCCCAACTCCACCTGGGAGCTATGAAGAAGGCAGAGGCAGCTTTCACTGGGAGGAGTCTTATGTCTGACCCTCACTAGGAGGCAGCCATCCAGACGGGAGCTTTCGATCCACCACAAGGACATCTGAATCTTGGGCCATCTGTCCTTCTAGCCCAAAGTACCTGGAGCATACAGCCTGTCCTACCAGTGCCCCCAAAGTCAGTATCACCTGTGCAGAACCACTATCCCAGGATTGCTATTTACCATCGTCCTGCATTGGTCTGCATACCTCTCCACAGACCAAAGGCTTCTGGGTCTGCCAGTAAGAGTAATTTTTGCAGCAGAGAGTAAAAGGACCAAGTGTAATAAAAAGAACAGTGACCAGCAGGAGAGCACGTAGATGAATATTAGAAGGAAAACCACTATTCTACCTGGATGCTCTTCTAGTTCTCCACTAGTACAAGCCCACTGAGAGGGCAGACACTAACATCTGTGTTCATACAGTGTGGCTAGAGCTCCTGGTGTGGCACTGTAAGATAAGCCCTGGACTGCTAACCTCAAGATCGCTGTTCAAACCCATCAGCCATTTCTCGGAAACCCTACACAGGATTGCTATAAAGCGGAACTGACTCAACAGCACTTTAACAACAAACAACAACGGCGTGGCTAACAAGGGCACTGACTCCAGAAACAGCCTCCCCTAGAGACTCTAGCTGGGAAAGTGGAGTCAGCCTGGCTCTCCAGGGAGCATCTCCAGAAGCAAAATGAGTCATACATAGGAATGCATTGCTGTCACTGCTAGCTGCCATCAAATCAACCCCAGACCATAAGGTACATCGCCAGGCCTTTCTTCCTATTCTCTCGTAGTCTGGCTGCTCCACTGAAAGCTGCTCAGCATCATAGCAGCACATTAGCCTCCACTGACAGACAGACGGTGGCTGCACACGAGGGACATCAGCTGTAGGGTGGCCGAGGATTCCATCACTGCACCATCCAGCCCTCACTGGGAACTGGTCATTTTGAGCACAAGCTGTATAAGGAGGAAGTCAGCACCCAGAACTTTTTCCTCTCCTGCTCTGTGTTTTTTTTAGCTCACTTCCTATTTAATTTTGCTCCTTCATTTGTTTGTTTAATGAGGAAATATAACTAACTTTAAAAAGAGTCCTGCCTCAGAATGCCCGTCAATGTTGGAGAAATTTCAATGTCTTTACATCAGGAAACCTGGTAACTGAACGTAAGCCACATATGTAATCTTAGAGCCTCCAGCAGTCACATTAGTAAAGCAAGAAGAAAAAGGCTAAATAATATAGTCAAATTAATTCCATACCCAAAACATTATCATTTCAATATGTAATCAATATAAAAGTATTAGTAGATACATAGGTACCCCTCCCCTGAGTTTCAAAAGTTCGCTTTATGACACTTTACTTCTCTAAAAGACCCGTATTATTACCCATTTTTTCTAAATGAAAGAAATCCAAAGAGAGATCAGGCTTACTGGTTTGAGACTGGTGGAACCCTGAAACCATGGTCCTTGATCAGCCTTCAGGTTTGAAACTGAACTCGTCCCTACGGTTCAAGTTTTAGCCAAGCAATAGACAGGCACATGTTATTGTTTTAAGTGTGGTCAAGTCTTTTCCAACTCATAGGGTCCCGAGGAGCAGTTGATGAGTTTGCCCCACAGACTTTGTGTTTAGCAGTCCAATGCTTGCCCTACAGCACTAAACCAGGATTCCAGATAGAAATGTGGTGCAGACACCACCATCAGTGAAATACACAAACATAGACTGGTCAACCATTCAAAATCAAAAGGATAGCATTACCCCTGGATAAAGTTCAGAAGGGTGGGGAAAGGAGAAGGAATGGAAACCACAGGGAGGAAGCAGGGTGAGTGATGTTAAACCCAGAGGACTACAATCAGTGAGATGAAACAAGGCGTATGATTTGCTGCAGGTAATACTGAAAATCTGCTCTGCAAACCTTCACTCATTCACAATATAAAGTTGAAAGAAAAAAAGGGCAAAATCCAAAGAGGATTTTTCACTTTTGTAGATAAAAAGCCAAATGAAGAGTTCAGCAAGTCACTGGAGAGGTAGTACAAGCCCCAAGCAGCAAGAGTGGCGCCACCAAGCTTCTTCCCAGGGAACTACACTCAGCACTGAACTGTCCGTGGACAGTATATGTTGGTGTTAATTTTAGGTTTATGTGTTGTTTGGTATGATTTGGTAGGTTATATTTTGTGTTTGGGAACGCTCAAAAACTTTTCCATATAAATGACTGGTAATATAGCTCCTTCGCTTTAAGCCATTTCAGGTTTTGAAAGGTTTGAGGAACATTCTACTTCAGGAAGCTTTTATCACTTTTTAAAAAAATACTCTTTACAATCTGATACAATCTCCACTAGGTCTGGTTACATTGCCACAGGCAGCTAGCAGCTACAGCTATAATAACTAAGGCAGTTCTGGATTAAGGGAACTGAAATGAAATTCATCTCAATTATGTCCCTCCCCTCCGCCCCTGTGCACTCTAATTGTTAATACTGGAAAAAACTTGGGGTCAAAGCAAGCATATACCTGCACTGTGGAATCCAAGACTCTTCCCACTGTGCTATAACGTGCCAAGAGTAAGGGTACTTTTTGCTTCAAGAATCTTTTGGTAAAGCAAAAACTCAAGTTCACTTATTTCTTTATGTGAAATCATACTTTACATACTGTTACGGATTGAACTGGGCCTCCAAAAATACATACTGTAAACCCTAGCCCCTATATTGGAGTCCTCGTTTGGTGCTGCAGGTAAGCAGGACTGCTACCTGCTAACTACAAGGTTGCCGGTTCAAACTCACTACCTACCCACTCCTCAGAAACCCTATACAGGGTCTCTATGAATCTTATTGACTGGATGGCACTTCACCACCACTCCTGGATCAGTGGTTATAGTTACATTTGGGTAGGGATTTTCTTTGTTGTATCAATGACACAGTTTTAGTGTGGTTGTTCTGAAGTGCCCTTGAGTTGGTTCCAACTCATAGTGACCCTGAATAGGGTTTCCAAGGAGCAGCTGGTAAGTTTGAACCACCAACCTTGCGGTCCAGTGCTGATACTACAGCACCAGTAGGATGTGTCTTAATCTCTACTGAGATTTAAATAGAGTAATTGAGCCAGCAATAAGTAAGTGGTGATGGAGGATGCCAGGTCACATGAAGATGACCAAAAGCTAAGGAACAGAAGAAGCTGAAGAGAAACAAGGAACATCCACCAAAGCTAACAGGGTGAAAAAGTCTTCCCCTGGAGTCAGCACCATGAATTCAGACATTCAGCCTCCAACGAACACGGTGAGTAAATAAAGCTGTTTGTTAAAGCCACCCATTCACATTTCTGTTGTTATAACACATTGCTATTATATGCCGAGGAGTCGGTTCCAACTCATAGACACATGTTGTTATTGTTAGGTGCCATCGAGTCGGTACCAACCCATAGCAACCTTATGTACAGCAGAATGAAACACTGCCTGATCCTGGGCCAACCTCA